ATGATCCCTTTAAATATCACACATTAAAAGAGCCATGACTTCTCTTCTAATATATTAGATATTCTGGCTGGAAAAATATTTTTGGCTGTGTACAGCAACCAAAGCACAAACCAATCAACCTCATAAGTTCGAGATCTGTTCGTTAATAACAGATGCTTGACATTAGTATATCTATACTATTAAAGCAAAATACTTATTAAGATTTTGTCATTATTTCTCTTTATAATTACATTGTCATGCCATTCCTTAATTTTAAACATAATCTCTAAATAAGAAATATTCCTAAATAATAGCTAAACAATTTATTTAATTCTAAATTCCCAACATATTTAATTAAATTATTAAAAAAATTTAGTCAAAACATTTGAAATATTACATAAAATATACTACGGTTCTGAATAATTTAAAATTTTCTAAATTTTCCTTCACTTAAAAAAATAACCATAATGAATTTTACACATATTTTTCTAATTATATAAAAACTTATAAATAAATTATATAAATTATAATTTTTGTTACTGAAAAATATTTAAGTTATAAATTAATCCCGTGCTTTTAAAAGTGTGGGTCAAAATCTAGTTTATAGATTAATTTTCAAGATTATGTCATTATCTTAAAACAGTAATGTCTGCAAAATCTACTAATTAAAATAAATAAGCCTATTTAATGGATAGTTGATTAGAATACTGTCATAACTAAAAGTCCTGTCATTTTTCTTTCTTTCTTTTTTCGTTTCTTCCAAGTAGGTAAAAGGCTTATCTACTTGAGAAAAATATGAAATATATATAAGAATACTAATATATTCGATATATATTACGAAACTCAATTTCAGACCTAATCACATCCCATTTCTTATCTTTCTCTTTTATCCCTCTCTCTGCTTCTCTTCTCCCCTCTCATTTGGTAGTGACGATGGATATGTACAAAGATGACAGCTCACCATACTGTTATTTCCATCCAAAGAAAGAATACGTTGGAGTGTGCCCACTCTGTTTGAACGAGAGGCTTCTGGTTTTAGCTTCAAAGCAGAGATCGTCAAGAACCAAATACTCTTCATCTTCACCAATCATTAGCCTCCCTAAGATCTTCACCTTGAGCTCTCTCCTCAGTCGCCTCGATCTCCGTCACCGCAGGAAATTCCATCCATCCTCCGATTTTGACGTCTCCACAAGCCAAGAAGGTACATATAGCTATAGTATATATGCATATCTCATACGCACAATTTATGTATATACTTCATATATACATTAATGTTATTTTGTTCCAATTAAGATAATTCCCTTTTTTCGTTTACACGGTATGATGATGATTTGATGGCTACTGCTAATTATAGTTCTTGAAATTTATGTAAAGATATATTTAGTCTTAATTGCTGTACAAATCAATGAATAATTGAAATTTATTTGTTTTTCTTTGTGTATATATGTTCAGATTCTTTTATATCAATAAAATTCGAAAATGATGGAAACGCGTCGTGGGAGAGGAAAACAGTGTCAGAGCTTTGTGTAGACAACACAAACTCAACATGTAATAAGGAAAAGCAGTCCCTTATAACGAGCAGTACGAGTATCGTAGAGCATCATAGTGTCAAGTCATCTCTCAGGTGGCGCAAACGTATTGGTCATCTTTTCCATGTCATCAAACTCAGATCAGGATGGTCCACCTCTTCTCGTCATGTGGCATCATCCAAGGTCGAAGGAACCAAAGTGAGGAAACAGGGTTGGATGGTGAGGACCTTAACCAGAAGAAAATCCAGGAAAAGTAAAAGTTGAATTTTCATATATTTATTTATTACACCTAAACAAAATATATTTTTTTGGTGTTTAAAAAGGAAAAAAATATTGCTTCCTTTTTTTAGTTTAATATTTGGTTTGGTCTTTTTGTCAATGATTGATGCCTCTGTTTAAAGAAGAAATATTTTGAAGTTTTTGTTGTTGTTGTAAGTAATGACAATGCTGGGTCATCCATAAACTAAATTGCTGAATTCATTAGATTAGATTTTTTTTACAAATAGGTGTATTACATATAACCTTTTTGTTTCTAAAACAAAGAATTTACATATAATTTCTCAAAAATATGTAAAAGGGACAAGAGGCTTGCCATGCACCATACTTCTTTGTTGGCATGTGGTCTGAATCTGATAAAGCCATTAAAAGATGGGAGAAGGGTCAAAAATACCTTTTATCATTATTTTCAAAATAATATTATTTCATTTTTTCTTGTTTTAGTTTAATTGTTTTTCCGGGTTGGAGACTTCGTCTCTTTTCTAACGGGGTTTTGTCTCAGTAGGTCTGTTACCTGCCAGTAATGTATCTCGCCACATTCTTGTAATTTGCCAATGTTAATGAATAATAGAATATTCAGTAAAAAGAAGCTAAAGTGAGCGAGAAGAAGAAAAAACAAACAAAAGCGAGTTGCTTTTAAATAAATAATTGTACATGGGATTCTTGGAATTCTTTTATGACTTTTAGTGCACACCTTTAGTTTCTCTTTTCTCTTTTTATAAAACAAATAAATGAGAGTAGTACAATTTATAATGCAATAAGAGTCCATGTTAGGTTGTTTACAATAGTGGGAAACATTGTAGCACAAAAAAGGACCCCAGCGCCATGCCCCATTCACATTGTCTTATAGTTGTCTCTTTTGTATACATTGTATGATTGTATACTTCCAATTCCTAAATCACATTTTTTTAATAAAATATTATACTTGAACTTGTGAGATAACTATAGCACATTGGTTTAATATGTTACATAAATTTACCAAGTTCATGTTGATTCGAAACGAAATACGTAAAAATGTAAAAGAAATAGTGGAGTCATTTGACAATGTTGATTTTGATATATGATATTTATTGTGTCGTGAGGTGACCACTCAAGGAAAAAAGTTCTTTTAGTTTGTTTCTAAGTTCAAGCAGAAGTAGGAAAGCAATGTGACTCCTCCAAGAAATTATATTAGAATTTTATCAATGTGGTAAGACTGATGCTGGTGTTAAAAAAGGTAAGACTGATGCCAGAGGAAACATAATTTTTTAGGCTAGTTGAATGACGAGTCCATTTGTTTATTCTGTGTACTATTCTCTACTTTTTGCATCTTTTTCACTTTTCATATTTTTGAAACTATCGAGCAGAGTAGCTGGATATGTTTAGTGACTGTTATCTTTTGGGGATCAGGAGTACTATTTATTCAAATCGAAACTTGAACCAAGTTCTAGTAAACCATTCAAATGTCCACCGAGAAATTAACAGGTCTCCAAATACAACAGAACTGGATAGTGGAGAAAAACGAAAAAGATGATCGAAAATATGGTGATTATTATGATAACTCAGGATAATTGGCCATTGTTTTGAGACCTACTTAGCACATGGGGATTGTTTGTTTTTTTTCAAAACTTAAGAGTGATTTTTGCATAAATTTGTACATTTGAGTTTCTTTTGTCGAGAGCCTGGCTGTAGGGACGGGACCATTTTTATAGATGATCGTATTCAAAACTAGGAGTAGGACCACGAACATATTCCCTGTTTATAAAGATTTTGAACGATTAAATGACACTTTTCAGAAAATATATAGCGTGAAATTATATATCATTTGGATTGATCGATGCAATTACTTACCACACACGAAAATAATTCTAATGCAAAATTTCATATGATGGACAAGGCAAGGATCGTTAATCAGGACATGAGCCCTATTGGTGGCAGGGCCGGCCCTGGGCAATGCCTAATGAAACATTTGCTTTAGGTCCCCAAAAATTTTGTAGAAAATATATGAGTATAGGCCTCCAAAAAAATTTTTAGGCCCCCAAAAATTTTTTTAGATCCCCCAAAATATTTTTACATAGAAATACCCCCAAAATATCAGGGCCGGCCCTGATTGGTGGACGCATGCAGTTTTCGCATATACTTATTGTATAATACGATAGTGGGATTAAATTTAAAACATACAAAAAGTTGAGACGTTGAGGCTAATTGGCATGTTATAACTTATAAACCGATATTGCATGAATAATGCCTGCATGGTCTATACATATATTTAAACGAGGCATGGTCTATACAAATATTTAAACGTTAGTCATGACTCATGATTCATGAGTGACAACATGTGGGATTCAAATCTCAATGTCTTGAATAAAACGCATGACGTAAACACAATACTTGGAACTACTTCAATAACAACACTTGTCCAATTTCTTATTATCTGACGGTATGTGCATATTGATGCATGTATGTGTGTACATTTCATTGCATTTGTATGAATATGACACTTAAAGCATCTCTAACCTTTTCTTATACTTACCTCTGTTATAGCATTTAGAGGTAAAATCACTCTAACCCATCTCTATTTTTACTTCTAAAATAAAGATTACTATTTTCTCTCTATTTATAGAGAAAGAAATAAAATTTTCCTATATTTTACTATATATTTGAAAATCTTTATTTTATAAAAATATATATTGAATCAAAGCTCATATCTATTATAGAATTTTTTTTATTTCAGAGATAAAAATAAAGAAATACATTGAAGATGGTTTTAGACCTTTGTTATTTACTTAGAAAATCCCAAGACTATATATGCTGCTAGTAAGCAACATAAAGATAGCATATATAAAGTGGCTCGAAGAAGAGTGCATGAAGTTGTCTAGATGACCATCACTGCCATTACCATCCATGGCATGTTCTAAGCCAAACCTATTAAAACATTCGTCTCAGATCCTAAAAAAATTGGAAAACAATTATATAGACATAATCCACTCATCAACAAAACGTAATTTAGACCCATAATCAGTAAAAAGTAATTTATCTTTTTTGAAATCTTTAAAAAAGTCATCTATAGCTCAGGGTCGGTCTTGTTACCATCTAATCAGTCTTCGAATAGTCATTCAGTTGAAGGAAGGGAGTGGATTTTCTCTGGCTCATGGGGATCATCAGCCTTGACCTGTGAGTTATATCAATTCAAGATTGAAAAAATCAATGATAGGACACATGCTATAAACTCTAGGACTGAATATGATAATCAGATTCTGACTTATCAAAACAGAAAGATTTCGATAGTTTCTTATGGCACATAAAAAAAATCATCAACAAATAACATTTACATGTAGTTTTCTTTAATTGTACATACAAAAATCCGAAAGCTAATAGAACATAATAGTAGCAAAGCCTCAGACATAAACAACAGATGAGTGTGTAGTACCCTGGAATCAGTTTGATGATTGCTCTAAATTGGCTAAATCATTCTACATGGTTCTGATGATTGCTCTTCTCTTGATTCCTTCCGTTGCTTCTCTCTCTTCTGAAAGCATGAAACAGATCCATCCCGAGTCCAACATTAAGGATGTTCATTCCCAACATACCAAACAAAGCAAGCGGCCACTCCACGCCTCTCCCAAACTTATGAGCGTCTTTGATCAGCTTGAAAGTGATGAGAACGTGAGGAATACATCTCGCAAACACAAAGGCTGTCCAGTTCATTACCCACTCCAGTTTCACCAACGCCGTGCTGCTGTCTCGGATTCCCGCCATTCTCCTTAGCTTCCTCACGTGCAGAAAGATCGAATGCATCTATTTCACACAGATCCAAGTAACAATTTGGTAACGACATTTACAGCTAACAAGTATAAGCATAGAAAGCTTTTCTTTTTTTAAAACGTACCTCACAAATGAGAGTGAGAATGAGGTAGTTGATGGTAACGTTTCTGTAGAGAGCCAAAGTGAAGCAAACGAGGAGGACGAGATGGTGAACGAGAATAGAAGGTATTAAGCCGCTGTATAACCGGTACTGGAGCATATCCCATTGGTCATAAGCAAAGTAGCCACAAGAGAAACACAAAGCAGGGTATGCCCATTTCCAAGTACCACCAACCAGCTCCGAATGGTCAAACATCTCGTCTATACCTTTGGCTAAGCATTGGTTGAGCAGAATGAAAACCACTGTGGTAACACACAAAACCGATGCAAAATCATAAGCAATAGTACTTAGTGAAGAGAAAACAGCTATACCAATAAAATCAAGCAATGTTATATTGAGATTAATGAAATCATAAGCGTTAGTTAATTTCTAAGAAACAATTCCTCAGATTTTAAAAACCCTAAAGATAATAACTCAACAGAGGGAAAGAGAGAGAGACCTGAGGCGGAGGTGATGATAGAATGTAGAAGGGAGACGGAGGTATTAACGAAGAGAGGGTCACGTGAGAGGCACGAGCGAACAAACCAATTCACCAATTGAAAGAAGCATCCGCCGCTAATCACCCACATAAGCTCCGTCCTTTGGTTGAATGCAATCTCAAACACGACGGAGACTAGCCATAGGAGCAGCGTCGCCAGGAAGAATTGCCCCGCCGCCCCGTTCTTCCCAGTTCCCGTCCTCGCCATCAAATTTGAGATTCCGGCAAAGTTGGTTAGCCCTAATCTGATTTCTTAGCTGCTAGACCTTCCTCCTCCGACTATCTATCTATCTTCTCCTATTGTAATTTTACGTTAACAAATTTTGTAAGAGCGCGTTTAAGACGCAACCGACACGTGTCCAGCAGCAAGACTTGTTCTGTCCTTTATGCTGAGTCATCCAATTAATTACAAAACTGTAATATTACACCAAGCCGACAAAATTAAATATTCTTATGTGCTGACAGTCGATATTGACAAACTGCTACCTTATGAGGCCCATTCAGCCCAATTTTTCTACAGCCCAATTATGGTTTTAACTATTGAGATATCCATTCAGATTGTATATTTTTTTCAGATTTTTGGATAGGCAATTCTCTAAAATAGCCAACTTTTAAGTTTTATTACAAAAATATATCTCAAAAATTAAAATGACTAAAATAGTATTTTTTATTTTGAAAATTTTAAGTTTTCTTTATTTTTTAAAATTCGAAACCATAAAAAAAAATCTAAGATTAGTTAACCCAAAGGTATAAATGTATTTTAATAAAATATTTAAGTGTTATTTTGGTCATTTAATTGTTAAGGTTATATTTGTGATAAAAACATTTTAAGGTCTATTCTAGTCATTTTCTCTTTTTGGATTCTAACTTCATAAATTCCATTCAAATTTTATCTACGTTAGATTCGGTTGTAATATTATTAAAAATATTATTTCAGGTTTGCATAGATTTTATAATTCTGTCTACTATCTTTCATTTACTCGGATTCGATAAATAATACTTTGGTTCATGTCGGATAAAATAAACATAAACATAAGTATTTGATATGGTTATAAATGTTTCAAAATTTTATTTCAAATAATTTTAGAATTTAGAATTGAATTTTTCTAGCTTTTTCAGTTTGGATTAAATTCAGATAATATCCAAAACCCGAAACACCACACTAGCTGATTCTTCACATACTTTTATATCTCAGAGCGGGTGCATAGTCTTAGATACTTTTGTTTGGGTTCAATTACAAATACCTAGGCTCAGAGATCTAGAGGCAAACCTTCTCAAGTGTGTTCTTTGTTAGTTGTTACACACACACACCACAACAAACAAGATATCGTGGATTATAGACACAAAACACCATCAAACCGAAATATTCTGAAACCAATGTTTCAAGCATATACATTGTATTTCTTAAACCGGTTTCCACACAGACAACACTTCCTGAAACATCTCAAGCATCAGCTCACGATCAGCCTGCCTGAAGAAACTGCTGATCTCCTCTCTGACATCATAAATCTTACCAAAATCAAACAAATACATCAAACACCCTTTCTTCAATTTCTCCAGCTGATAAAGCCAAGCCTCTTGCAGCCTCTCCAGCACATTCCCCGAGTTTATATCTTCCATCAGGCTCTCCTCACAGGCCGCTTTCAGATCCGTGATATCGTACTTGTTGGCAGCTCCTAGAAGCGCGAGCCTGTGTTTCCAGAAGTCTTCTTGTGTTATGTTACCGTAGAGGTAACTCAACAGAGCCATGCAAGACTCTCTAGACATGTCGTCGATGTGGATGGTGGATGACTCTTTTTCCTTGAGGTCGTGATGGAACATGCTTTTGAAGACGTTGGAGCTAGCGGAGAGGATGGCTTTGTGAGCAGAGAGCGTCCCGCCGGATGTGTGGATGGTTACATCGGAGAGGATGTTTTCTTCTAGCATACGGGATAAGCATTTGAGAGTGGTTTGAGTTGAGATTGATTGCATTGTTGTATCGGTTGGCCAAACAGGTGAAGCTTCACCACCCTGGAGGATAATGATTGATCAAACAATATGGAAAATAAAGAGAGATTGCTAAAAAAAATACCTTAAGCTGGTTAGCTACCACTTTCCAAAAATACACTCAAGTGAAAATACCCTTAATTAAAACAAAAATATGAAAAACTTACATTCAAAGAGCAGATTTTGAGATCAAGAAACTCAACATCAATGGTGAAACGACCGTGGAAGGTTGAGTCCACATGCCACACACAATCATCAGTTGTACGCAGTATTTTCTCATACACTACAATAGTCAGTAATTAACTTCAACCACCACAAGAAAATTTTAAAATATGCAGAACTGAGATTAATACATACATACATACATACCGGGAGAGATGTATAATCTACGATTAGGGCCAACGTTGGAGACACGAAGAACAAATCTAGCATAAGGAGGTTGTTCCTTGGATACACGAGATAGTTCTGGGAAGAGTCTAACGGATAGGTAACGGTTCCTCTCTATAGACAGATGCCTTCAATCATCCAAAACACTAATAAATCAATCAAAGAGTAATAAAAAGAATAATAATAATTTTAGAGAGAAAAAAAAACGAAATTTGATGTTACCAATTCCAGATTCCAACTTTGAAAGGATCGGATTTTTTGAAAGAGCAAGGTCCAAAGTTTTCAATTCTCCATTGAGCTAATCTCGAGATAGTCTCCACCTTCGTGTCCCCCATCCACTCCTGTGAGAACTCAAAGATTCTTTTTTGACTTCCTTTATTTTTCCCCTGGAAAACGCTTTACTTCACGCCAAATGACACGACCTAAGCAAGCAACTAACACCACAGCACAGAAGCCTTCATCGTGCGCCACGTGTACGGTGATGGCTGGTTCTTCATTTTTAATCATGTAACCGGTTCGTTCCGGTTTAGTAAAGACAAAGATAAAACAAGGAGAACCAGTTTTGGTCGACAAAGTTCAGAAATGGCGACGTTGGAGAATAAACCGAAGATTGTGTGGAACGAAGGGAGACATAGATTCGAGACTGAAGATCACGAAGCCTTTATAGAATACAAGATGAAGAACAACGGGACTGTTATGGACTTGGTTCGAACTTATGTCCCGTCTTCTAAAGGAGGGTTAGGTTTGGCTTCGCATCTTTGCGTCGCTGCCTTCAAACACGCTTCCTCTCACTCCTTCTCCATCGTCCCCACTTGCTCCTACGTTTCCGTAAGTTGACTCTTCCTTCTTTGCGATTCATGTACCATTTTTTTTTATTTATGAAAGATTTGTCTTCTTGGCAGGAAACGTTTCTGCCTCGAAACCCGTCTTGGAAGCATCTGGTTTACTCAGAGGAGTCCAAGATTCTCAAATCTAGCATCTGATCAACTTCGTATGAAGGCGTTTGATGAATAAACCATAAACCATTTCATTATTAAGCCTTCTTGCATGTTTTATGTAAACAACAAAATGTCACAGAGCGTTTTGTAACAGCAACAAACAGACACTAGTAGTGTTGTTTATCATAATAATCATATAAAGCATGCAAAAACATTATATTCTACATTTATATGTTATGTTCTTTGTACATTGAGATAGGCGTTGGTTGATGTGTCTTTCTAGCCAGTGACAAAGTAATCCATCTTCTCTGGTGGTAAGTTCAGGACTGATTGCTCAACCTGAATAACAAGAAACAGATTCATATCAGATTAAAATGTGCATTTGCCATAAGATGTGAGAAACAAGAAAAGGGTATATATGTACTTGCCTCTTCGAAAGGAACGAAGACGAAGGGAGTCATACCCCTCTTGTGAGAGACGGCGGGTATATCAGGATTGTGAGTTTCATCGTCTCTCCAATTCTCAACTACCCCAAGAATGTCCTCTTCTGTGCTACTTCCTTCCTCATCGTTCACACCACTCGTCACTAGAGACAGCAAATCCATCCTGTTATTGGCACCAATCGCCGTTCCTCTTAACCTATACCACACCCCAAAACCACGAAGATCAAAAATGACTTCAAGCTACTCATATAAATATTCATCCCATTCACTGGAAAATAAGATAAGCAATAATAGGCCTTCCTCCCAAGCCAAGAGATTGAAATTCTTCCAACTGAGTTCTATGTTCCCACAACAGATGCTAATATTGAAATGAAACTTTCTCTATCCTGATAATTTTGAGGAATTGTAATACCTTAAGCGGATCCTTAAGACAGTAGGGCGTGTCCCTGGATACAGAACAGCTGCTTCAATCTGGAAATAAAACAGCATATTCTTCAGGATATAGAAGAATTAATGTTGCTGATATACCAATCCAATAGGCAGCTGACCTTGTCATCTGACATTGACAATGTGTAAGTGCCTCTGTAAAGACCATCTGCTTTAGAAGACTTAAAGTTCATATATTTGGCAACATCCTTCAGTTTCTGCGAAGAGTTCTGGAGTAACAAAAAATATGGAAATTATCAAAGTAAAGATCACACATGCAGCTCGACGTTTATGTCTACTTAGATTGAAGTGTGTACAAACCTTGTAAAGAAATCTGCCAGAAGGGTAGAATCTTATGTAGCGATAGTAACATACCTGCAAAAATAGTCCCAAAAGAAAAGGCTACTCATTAGATGGATCTGTATGAGACATGATGAAAGTACAAGAAACATGACAAAGAATTTACTATGTGAACTGGATTTGTAATCTTCCACTCAGCAATTCCAGCTCGAATGTAAGTGTTTCTGCTCACATAAATACCTGAGAATCAAGAAGGTACAAAAGTTTGAAAAACTATGAGGAAGGGTCCATGAAAATAAGGCCACTTTGATATAACTAGAGTTGATGTTAGTGCACACAAAAGAACAAAACAGATACAACAAACAATCACTTTGGCGCTTGAATCTCGTGAAGCAAGAGGATGGAAAGAGATTAATTACCATCAGTACGAACTCTGGATCTAAGAAGCCACATTTTTCTCCATGATCCATCGTATTTAGACTGCAAGATCCTATAGTTTTCGATAACTCCAGCAGTTTGCCAAGCTTTCAAGCACGCGTTACGCCAGAACACAGGGTTGCGAACCGTGTATCTCCACTTTCTGCAGACACAAGCTGCTCTTCCTAGGTCATAAGGCAACATCCGAGCAAATACCTACAAAAAGTAACAATTATATATCCATGAGTCACAACTTCAGCAGTTACATAAGATGGCAAAAGAGAAAGATAGGGGAAGCTCTCCAACCTCGAAAAGAAGCTCATCGGGCAAGGAACGATGAATCAAAGCTGGATCGAACTGTGGTTTACTGCTTGTGCTTCCGAATGGTGCCACTGGCCTTACATGGACTCCATAAAGATCTGAAAGAAAGAAACAAAGAAAGAGGAAAATGTAACTCATCTCCAAAACCATGAGAAGTCAGTCACTATAACGAAACAGGTGATCAAGACTATTACCAAGCCAAGGCCTCTTTGTAATAAAGTATTGTACAGTCCTGAGCCGTAACGCAGATTCAAGCTCAGATGGTATGTTGAGAGCATCTGTGAAAATCAAAAGTTTTTATCAAAACAAAAAAGAATCAGTTAGTAGACCACTTTCCCTAGTGGTTCATACATACAAAACACATTTATATGAATGTTAACAAAACAAAACAAAAAACATTTACTTTATCTCAATTTTGTAACAGAACAAACACGTTTCACGAGATTATAAGCTGTGTTATGCAAATCAACACGAAGAGAGATGACTGGAGAAAATAAATAGAATTAGAGAAGATATCAATTCGGAGACAGACAAGCTCCAATTTATCGAATACAGAGACCACCTGTTCTCGATAAATCATCATCTACCGATCCGATGGAGCCAATATCGAATTCGATGAAACAAATTAAAAGGAATACCTGAAGTCATTGGAAAATTGATAGAGAATTGGGGATGCTCGGAATGAAAAATTTAGAGCGTTTATCGTAGCCGGGACGACGATAAGGACCAGAGACTGTTTTTTTTTTTTAATTTTGTGGTGTCTCCAAGTTCACATGGATACCGACATTTCAAGGTCGGTACTTTAAAAGTTCGAACCAAAGTGGTTTGGTTTAGCTTTTTGACTTTTTATTTCTTTTGATTAAAGAAGATATATTAGATTGTATGGTTAAATGTGGTTTAGACCGGTTAAGAACTACATATATATATAATTATATATATAGTCCTAAAGTTGGTTACGATGTAACAGAATAAGTTGAATAAACAGATTATCATCTTCATTCATCTCTCTCGTTTCTCACTGAGCTCGATCTCTCTGGATCTAATAGAACAAGAAAAAAAAACAGTAAGGTAGCAGAAAAAATAGATCCACATGCTCAGTTTCGCCACTTTTGGCAAAGAGTTAAATAAAACTGGTGCTTGTTGTAAGAAACCCAACATTATTAGTCTTTCCATCAAGTGTTGAATCTCATTTACACACCAATGGTTCTTTTGCATTTAGAAACTGAAACCCCGATACTAAATAAAAATATAATACACCCCAAAAGCGGACAGCGACATAAGAAATAAAAAAGAGAGGTCGAAGTTGAAACACACGACTACACGAAGAGAGAATGTGTGAGCTTATGAAATGTAAATAAATCAACAACAACGGGCGGTGAGTTATTCAGCTCCACATGCTCAGGTTCGCCCTTTTGGCCTTGAGAACAAACATCTCCCGGCCTAAATCAGATTTCTGGCTATAAAGATTATGAGCCTGATTGAACAATGTTGCTAACGTTCAGACATATCATTAGAAGAGTAAGATAACTATATTGAAGAAGAAAAAAAGTTGTCACCTTTTCTAAATCTTCATCATCTAAAGCTTTGATCATCTCTTCTTCCACTTGGCTGAGTTTCTTTTCAATCTCTCTTAGTTCCTCATCAATCTAACAACAACCAATTTAATTAGTCTTTTTCTTTCAATATATAAACTCAAAGAGGTTAACCAAAGGAAAACATTAAATAGTATGATGAACTTTTTTTTGAAACACATTTAATTAGTCTTTTTCTTTCAATATATAAACTCAAAGAGGTTAACCAAAGGAAAACATTAAATAGTATGATGAACCTTATCAACAATTGGTTTATAATTCATCTCCACCAATGTCTCATTGTTGTTTTCTCCAAGCATGCGTATAACCTACATAAGACAATGGCATGTGTTGAGTGTCTTTCCAGAGAAACTCGTATGCTTATTAAGTAAAGTAATTCTTGATTTTGTAAATTATACAAATGCAGCTCCTCTTTCTTTTTTTTGTTCTTTACCTCTGTCCGAATGTTGCTAGCGTTTGCACCCAAGTTGGCCAGGACCAGATAAGCTAAACAACGTTCATCACTCATAAAAGCAAGCAGAAGATGCCCTGATCCAATATAGTTATGCTCTAGCAACCAACAGAACCATCTATATATTAGAAACACTCACATTCCTCAAAACATTAAAATGAAATTTATCGAATAAGAAAACAGATACCTACCAAGTTTCCGAGCTTCTTCGTATACCAACTCCAGCATGCGCCAACCATCATGGGTAAACGGGATATCAATTGCCGTGATTTCAGTCTTCTCAACCTCCTTAGGCACAGCATATCCATGGCTTTTTTCAATTATTTTGTCAGCTTCCTTACGCACATCTTCTGCATTGATGATGATTCCCATGGATTTAAGAACCTTTGCAGCAATGTTTTCAGGGGCAAGTAGTAGAGCAGCCAGTATTTTAACAGTCCCCGACAAGAACATCTCCGATCATGCGGGTTTCTTCTTCGGCCAGCATTACGGACTTCATTGCTTCCTCTGTAAATCGTTCAAATACCATCTTCCGGTACCCTCTCGAGGGTTTTACTATTTTCAAAAACTCTTCCTCTTCGATTGGAGCATCATATAGAGAAGAGACCTCTGAATAAGCCAGGATCTTAGCCGCCATACGTCCTGGAAGGCTGCGGCTGCAATTGAAAAACGGTATACACTTAAAGTTAAACCAGCTCTCTAAATAAACACTCTGTGCCATGGTATCTTTACGAATTGGTTGGTTGATCAAAAGCTAACTACTTTGAAACACAAGTATACTGAAAGAAAAGCTAATATCCTCACATGTCAGACAGCAAATAAGAATAGCAGCCAGCAGAAACATAAAGTTAATATAACTTCTGCTGGATCCATAGAAATCTGGCTGTAAATTATTGCATCAAAAGATTCTAGCTTTGTAAATTTCCAATCATGACAATACAATAACACAGCCACTTGTCACTGAGAAGCAACACAAAGCAAAAGCCTTTTTATACCAAAAATAACCTAATTCTCATCAAAAGATTAGCCTTTTCTAGCAAACAAAAGCCTACTTACCAAAAGAAAAGCCACTATAAAGGTACAAAACCATAGAGCTTACATTGGCCGGGGGAGAGTAGAAGACCGAGACATGAAGATAGTGACCGAGAAAGCAAGGCTCCTTATTGTCGTCGGCGTTTCTCGTAGAGAAGACAAAGAGGGGAAGAAGAACACTTATCACAAGGACAATTTATCTGTCCAGCCCAATTAAATGGGCTCTAAATTGGTTATTATTTGAAAGATTTTCGGTTCTTGTTTCTTCCATTTTGGAGGGAATATGTCAACCATTTGTAAATTAGGGTTTCTTGACTATTAATTTCTGTTTTTAAAAATCTTTTTCCTCAAGGTGTTATTAGACATCGTTTTGCCAACTACTAGATACACCAAGATTTTCGTTCCAGTATAATGTTCTAACAGTAGAAGTTCTTCCTGTTAATTACCAAACCTCTGAGCTTAAAGATGGATTTTTTTTTTTTTTTTTTTTTGTAACAGATGGATTATATTTTACCTTTTCTGTTCTAGTAACTTAGGTCCCAAGACTTGCATCAAACTACTCATAATATTAAAAAGAGAACATACAGTAGTTCAAAATTGATCAAAACAAAAAAAAACAAAAGAAGCAGCAATTATTTTGTTCTGCAGATTGCAAATATTAAAACTCAAGTGAGTAGATTAAAGAGATCTTCTTCTCTATCTACTCAAAGCCTTTGTCTTCTTTGGTGTATTTTCTTCATAACTACCAAATTAAGCTAGCAGCTAAGAGACATAACACACTTCTTTTCTCAGAGCTCGTCCTTAGCTGCATCAGTTATCTTAGTCTCTCCAGCTGTTTCCTTGTTCTTGTCGATGAAGCTTATGATATCTTCCTTTGTCCTGTCTCCTTCATAAAGCACAATGTTTCCACTCACTGATCTTAAGTAAATGGTCGGGAAGCCCTTCACATCAAAGGTGTCACGTGGGAAGTCGTTTGCGGTTGCGTCCTGGACGAGAGTGAAAAGACAAAGAAACAAGAAAAAGATAAAACCGTTGAGGATCAATGAACATGACACTCTCAAAAGGTGAAATAACTAGAAAGAACTTACAAACTTTGCTATGACTATACTTGGGTCGCTTTGGTAAGACACAGCTACTTCGTCCAAGATTGGAACAAGGTTTTGGCAGTGTCCACACCATGGAGCATAGAACTCAAGCAAGACTGCAAGTAAGAAATGATCCCATTAGTCTGGGCCACTATTTGTGATTTAATCTTGTAATGTAAACTCACCGTTCTTTCCAGAGTTGAAGACCATCTCGTCAAGGCTCTCAGCAACAACAACCTTCACTGGCTCGTTGTTTTCAGTTGGGATAGGCTGAGATTTTTTGTGCGGGGTAAGTTTTCCATCTTTGAAGTCATTGATCCATGATTCAATCTGGTCAACCTCCACGTTTGTTTTAATGTACTTCTTCTCATCCAAAGTATGGAGGATGATTAGAGGAACATGGCTATCTTTGACTCCATAGTGCTGTATATTCGTTCAGGATCCTGCTTAGCGTTTTTGTAACCAAATACAGGATGAAACGATAGGAAGACTAACCTGGAATGCTTCTTGGCTGTTCTCAGCATCACCGAGAAGGAAGCTAAGACCATGTCCCTTGTTAGATGCAGCAACTTCACGGTACTTTGATTTAAGAGACTCAGCTCCTTCTCCGTTGAAGTCAATGAACAACATAGCCTGAAACTCAATACATTACTCACATCAAAAACCAATACAAGGTTGATAGTTATAGGATCAGTGAAGAACATGTAAGCCTTTACTGATAATTAACAAAAATAAATCATATATCTTTGTAGTGTATCATGAAAAAAAGAAGTGGTTAGAGTGTGAGACCTATGAGTTACCTTAGTATTAGGGATGTCAAAGAATTTGATAACATAAGGGTGGTTGTTTGGATCCTTGTCAAAGACAGTGATAAGTGGAATGCTTGATTCTTTGACAAATTTCTCCAAAGCTTCTCTAACAAAATCCTGGTTGCATTACACAACAATGTACCATAAGAACAAGACCCACTCATTCATAATACAAAATGAAAAGCTTTTTTTCTCTTTTGTACCCTGGAATCAACAAAGAGTTCATCAAATGGTTTGAATAATCTGACTACAGGTCCTGTCACAGACTCTCCACGAGGAAGAAGCTTAGCATCTGAGGTGTGCGCGAAATCATAATCAGAGCGCAGTTTCTCAGCAGTGGCCATGAAAGAATCAAACTCAGAGCCAGATAGCTTAGGGAAAACACCAACCTATTCAACACAAGAGAAAGTGACGTTAATATAATGAAATGATCAAGAAACAGAATATGATGTTTCTTGATACTTACGGCAACCACATTCTTGTCACCAACAACCTCAGCAGCAGCATCAGCAGACTTGATTTCAAAAGAAGCAGGACCGCTTTGTTTCTTCAAGTAAGTAACAATACCGTCAGCGTCACGAGGTCCGGTGTATCCTTGAACAGCTTTCCCTCCGTTTCTGAGGATCTTGATTGTTGGGAAGCCCTGAACCTCGTATTTGGCTGCAAAATCTTTGTTTGTTTCCTCACTTGCATCGATCTTGGCGAGAATCACCGGTGGGACATGACTGCTCAACTCTGACGCAGCCTTCTCATACTATAAACAAACAAACAGAAAAAAACTCAATCACTCACGGCTACATGATCAATTAGACAAATAACTAAATGATGATATGTTTGTTTTTCACCTCAGGAGCTAGCTGCTTGCAGTGTCCACACCTGAAGAATAAGAGATCACAAAATTAGTAAATTACACAAGATCAAATTACCTTTCACGTATTTTTGGATTATCAGATCATAGATCAACAATGTAACGTTAGTGAGAAGAAGATACCATTCGCATGCAAATACAAATGGGACATAAAATAATATAATCAAATGATGAATAATTCAGATCCATGCATGGATCCTGAAGCAATAATTAAACATTGAATCATAACAAAATGCAATACCAAGGGGCGTAGAACTCGACGGCAATGAAATCATGCTTGTTGATGGTTTCGGTGAAGTTAGTATGATCCAATGTCAACACAAACTCCTTGCTTCTTACGGATGAAACAAACAACGACAACACAAAGATGATCGAACACAACGTGTATCCTCTCATTGCCATTACCGATCTCTTTCTCTTTCTCTCTCTCTCTCTCACAAAGCTTCGCTCGGAAATACTGTTAGCTCTAAAAGGAAGCTGTGAGATATATTTTTCAGCTCGTTTTACGTAAAATTAATGCTAAATGGTCACACATCCACGTGGCAACCATTCATTGGATATTAAGTACTCTTAGTTAGGCAACAACTTCTGTGTTAATATAATACTTTGTCTTGTCTTGACCATCGGCGATTATAAAGTATGTCTATAATATTATTTGAGAAGTCAGTTTCTTACGTGTCGCGCTTACGTTAACTCTCGTGATGGTTGATTACATAGATACCCTTAATGAATTGTTAGATTTTAAGATTATTACTAGATCTCGACCCGCGCAACCGCGCGGGTATTTATTTTCATTTATTTTTATAGAAACATTTTGTTTTCAATTTTTTTTGAACATTAGTTTTCAAATCTAAATTAATATATATATATATATATATATGAGCTGCGTATATCAATTTTAAAAAGATAATAATTTTATCATATATTAATTTTTAATCGAATATTTTGTTTCAAATCTTTACATATATTTGTATATTCTTCTATATATATATATATATATATATATATATATATATATATATATATATATATATATATATATATATATATATATATATAT